CTCCTCTTCCCCCTTTCTTCTCTTTCTTTTTTCTTCCCTTCCTTCCCATCTCCCTTCCCCCTTTCTTTTCTTTCTTTTCTTCCCTTCCCTTCCCTTTCCTTTCCCCTCCCTCATCCTCCTTCCCTTCCCTCCTCTTCCCCCTTTCTTCTCTTTCTCTTTTCTTCCCTTCTCTTCCCTTCCCTTTCCCCTCCCTCACCCTCCTTTCATTCCCTTCCCTTCCTTCTTCCCTTTCTTTTTTTCCCCTTCCCTCACCTTTTCTTCTTCTTTTTTCTTTTCTTCCTTCCTTCCCTTCCCTTCCCTACTCTTCTCTTCCCTTCCCCTTTCTTCTCCTTTTTTCTTTTTTTCTTCCCATCTCCCTTACCTCCCATCCTTCTTTTCTTTCTTTTTTTCTTCCCTTCTCATCCCTTCCACCTCCCTCATCCTCCTTTCCTTCCCTTCCCTTCCCTTTCCTTCCCTGGAAGGCTGAGATAAAAATGTAGAAATCTATGGGATTGTAGTTAGCAATCCCATACAGTCTAATTATGTTTCAGATCAAACCTGGATAGATCCATTTTCAAAGTCTTTTGCAAGGAAGATTGTTTGTCAGCCACACAGTCATTGACAGTGAGTGGGCAGCCATATAAACCCAGTAAAAAAACGAACATATAAATCCAATAAACCCAACAAAGAAATAAATAAAAAATAAATAAATACATCCAATAAATAAATAAATACATCCATTTGAGCCAGTTTCCATTTCTTTTAGACTAACTGACTTCAGTGCAGTATTGTGCAAGAAAAACAAAGTAGACTATCTTGTGTTCTTGGAGGAAACAATAGGATTCGGGCGCAAATTAAATAATATAATACTGTATCAAAAATAGGATGGCAGCATAGAGGTGCATGCATAATGGGCCATTCTCAAAATGGTTGGACATGGAATGAAGGATGCCTGTCAGAAAGGTAGATGATGGTATGAATTTCAGCCAGAAACAATCCATATGGTTCCAAATTTGTCAAAAGACCAGCCTTTGTGTCAATTTGGTCCACCATTCCCATCTAGATGAAGAATGATTCTCATTTGGACCACAAAGCCTGGATCATATTATTGGAATAATACGTGTGCCTGGACAAGTATTTCTTCTACTACGTAGCTTGGTTCTCTATTGGTGGACCAGATGTTCATCAGATGTCCTCTTTTGCCAGAAGTAGGCAAAGATTTGTGGGTGTGGCGTTGCTGATGCCAACCTTGTGAGTCAGGCATGGTGTTTCTTCCAAATGCACTTGGGCTGTTGAGACCAGATGTGTACAGCTGCATTTACTTCCAAGAACAATATTCTCTATGGGGCAGAGTCCAGCACGAGAAGATGAGCAGAAATCTCCTAGCAAAGACTCAGTCCAAATTCATTTGCAGAGTAATAATGCCTATGTCTTTCCACAAAGGAAGCAGAGTTATAATGAGAGGGATGGAGGGAGGGAGAGAGGGAAAAGGAAGGAAGGAAGGAAGGAAGAAGGAAGGAAGGAAGGAAGGAAGGAAAAGGAAAAGAGGGAGAAAGGGATGGAGAGACAGAAGGAAGGAAGGTAAGGAGAGGGAGAAAAGAGGGAGGGAGAGAAGGAAAGAAAGAAGGAAGGAAAGGAGGAAGAGAGGGATGGAAGGAAGGTAAGGAAAGGGAGGAAAGAGGGAGGGAGAGAAGGAAAGGAAGAAGGAAAGGAAGGAGAGAGGGATGGAGGGGCGGAAGGAAGGAAGGTAAGGAGAGGGAGAAAAGATGGAGGGCAGGAGGGAGAGAAGGAAAGAAAGAAAGAAGGAAAAGAAAAGAAAGGAAAGGAGGGAGAGCAGGATGGAGGGATGGAAGGAAGGTAAGAAGAGGGAGAAAAGAGGGAGAGCGGGAGGGAGAGAAGGAAAGAAAGAAAGAAGGAAAAGAAAGAAAAGGAGGGAGAGAGGGATGGAGGATGGAAGAAAGGTAAGGAGAGGGAGAAAAGAGGAGAGAGGGAGAGAAGGAAAGGAAAAGAAAGAAAGAAAGAAAGAAAGAAGAAAGAAAGAAAGAAAGAAAGAAAGAAAGAAAGAAAGAAAGAAAGAAAGAAAGAAAGAAAGAAAGAGGGAAGAGAGAGGAGGGAAGAGGAGAGGAGAGGAAAGGAAAGGTCCACAAAGTCTTGAAATCTTAAAATCTTGAAAATAAGCCAGTTTTATTTTGGCACCTAAGTCTCAACACAACTCTGTTTCCTTTCCTGTTCCTCTCTCCTTCTTCCTTCTTATTTCCGCAACAATATTGGGGGCCCACCAAAAGTGTTCGCCGGAGGTTGTTATCTCACACATCTGGTGATGTGAATTGAGAAACCCCAAAACATATGTGACACAAAAGATACTACAAGACTCTGTTTTAAGGCAATCCACAACTGTGCAGCCTGTTTAAACGATCACCGTCAAAAATAATACAAATGTAGGATTTGAGTTTGCTGTTTCACAGGGTAACAGAAAAATAGAATTTAACATTGCCAACAAACAATTAACATACATTTTCCCCCTTGAAATGCCCCTTGAGCAACCCCTTTGAGAGTTTGTCCAAGGAAAAATGGGAAATGAGCGAAAATCTATTCAGTATGTGTAATATTTGCTCAGTTGTTTTTTTTATTTTTTGGCATAGAGAAAACATCTTGCTTATGATTGTTATCAGATTGTTTTAATCCAACCAACATGATCAATTTTTGTCTTGAAAGCCACACTAAAAATTTGGCAAGAATGACAATGATGTATGGGTTCAGAACAGGTACGTTTAATCCTCGCTTAATGATTGATCGCTTATCAGGCACAGAAAATTACAATGCCCCCCTCAAAAGATCCAAGTTCCAATAATGGTACCCCAATCCATGGCACATTAACACATTTCAACTGCCTGGTAACTTTACAGCCAATATCTATCTGTCTATTCTCTCTCTCTCTCCCCCACCACTTCTCTCTCTCTCTCTCTCCTCTATCTATCATCTACCTACCTACCTACTTACCTACCTATATATATATCATATATCTATCATCTATTATCTATATCTATCTACCTTGTCTGTCTGTCTAGCCTATCTATTTATCTAGTCAGTCTGTCTGTCTGTCTATCAATCTACCTACCTATGTATATCTATCTATCTATCTATCTATCTATCTATCTATCTATCTATCTATCTATCTATCATCTATATCGATCTACCTTGTCTGTCTGTCTGTCTATCTAGTCTGTCTGTCTATCAATCTACCTATGTATCTACTTACCTATCTATCTATCATTTTATTTCTATAGCTGCCCATCTCAGCTCCTGGTCACGTGACATGATTTATGATGATTTCTTTTATAAGAAATCATCATTTTTGGCTCGTTTCCAGCCAAAAAACAAGACCTACATGAAAAAAAAAAGGCCCACATGAAAAAGGACCAATACATCATGAATGCATTGACTTGATTCATGGCGGCTGGACTCACTTTACAACCGAGGCATTGGCTCAGTGACTACTGTAAAAAAAGGTTGCAAAATCGGGTCAGTCACATAGGGGACTCGACTTACGACTACCATGACTTGCAATGGAAATTCTGAACTCCATTACAGTCATCAGGACTATCTACATACAGTAACATGGGTCTATAATATATCCTGTCCCCATATCAATTCTGAGGAAAAACACAAATTTTCTGGAAGGTAATATATGTTTGAAGATTGGAATAGCAACCCTGCCTATCCTGGAATGGAATGGGAAATATTTATAAGCTTTTTGGTTGACCATTTTGGATGAGAATAGAGTGACTTCAATGCCTGGGCCTTCCATGATTGAAGAAGGCTCAAGTTCTCCCACATAGTTATCAACGTTCCTAACTTCGATGATCCTGAATATTATGAAAGGTGGAGAACAAAGTTCTGTGTCAGAACTCTGACAAATCCACCCCCATTCAAATCATAAGTCTCTAGTCACATCTCTCAGAGTTAAAAAAATATATGATTTATTAGGAGTGACCATGTCGGCTTACCTGGGTGCAGCCGACACTAAAACACTAAGACACATCATTCATTTCCCCCTTGACCCTAGTCTTCCCCTTCACCCCCTGGATGTATATTCTCCAATCCATAGCCAAGAGTCATCAATCATGCTCTCCAGTAATAATCTTGCGCGCCAACAGCTTCAGCTGCCTAGCAATTATCTGAAGCATTTAAGGAATGCACTACTTTCCCCACTCCCTTTCTGCTGGCAACTAAAAAGACCAAAGAAGTATTTTTTTTTTTTAATTTGACATTCTGTTTGGTCTGCTATCATTTCATAATGTCATTTTACTTGCTTTATCCTAGGTGGAAGTTCCAGTTCGTCTCCTGCAACAGCCTCTGGGGGAATCCCATCACCTCTCGGCTCTCTCCTTTCTCCCGCGGGTTCTCCTCCCACCTTTCACCTCTCCGCAACCAACCTTGGCATGCCCTGCCCGGATTCTTACCTGCACCATCTTGGCCTACCCATCTGCTACAAGATTTGCCCTACCAACCTTTTAAGACAGCCGTCCCTCATGTTCCCGAGCCACCATAAGTTGGGAAGTGCCACCGGTCCTCACTTTTTCCCCCACTTCATGGTGGAGGTGCCCACCTTGTCCTCTCTGAGCATTGGCAACCTCAGAAGTGGCAAAGCAGAAGATCTAGATGGAGTGGTGTCCCAAGGGCCCAGTTCTGGTGGCCAGATGTTGTATGGCTTGCATGCATCTGGAAACATTTTCCCGTCGGCGCCTGTCGCCCGAGAAACTTTAAACTGTGCCTTGCATCCTCCTTATGGGTTCTACGGTTATAACTTTTCAGTGCCTTCTAGGTTAATGAATTCATTGAGCCACTTCAAAGTGAGTGATGGCATGCCACCTCTGCTCCAGGACAGCAGGTGTAATCATTCTCCCTGGACATCCACAGTTAACCACTGCCTCTAAAAAAAAAGACTTCTAACCTCTCAAAGTCAGGCCACCAACGATCTCTGGATCTCATCCTTCACCAAACACTAAAGGACTGCAATATTTGGAATGCTGCAAAACACAAGGAGATGAACAAAATGGCTTCTCGGAATTTTCTTCTGGTTCATTGAGAGGGAAAAAAAACTCTGTGTCCACCTGAGTGGGTGGGTAATAAGTTGGAGAATAAACAAGATGTCTTTGATGGAGGTTTGCAAGTTCCCTTGCCAGGATGATGGGGGTGAAACATATTTAAGGTCCATAATGGATAGATAATATTCAGAAGAGACTCAGACAGACATCTCCTTAATTCACCAAACTATAAAAAGTTGGAAGAGGAAGTACAACACAACGAGACTTGCAAGATTCTTGTCAGCTCTGTTACACAGACCAGAACCAAAACAAAAAAAAATTGGGAGAAACCTTAATCAAACTCTAAGCAAGCTGTCTCACTGACTTTCTTGAGAGAACATCTGATAAAGAGATATAAAGCACTACGAACCAATTAGTGTCAGATCATAACTGCTAATTTATTTGGTTGCTTTCATGGGCCTGGCTAAAAAGTAAAGCTGTTCTTTGAATATTTGCACTTTGCATCAGAAGTTAAATATTGTGTCATGACTGAAATGTAATGTGATCCAAATATTCATGCAATTTTTGTATCTTTCATCTGAGAATTGTTTTGAGAATATCACTTAATCCTCAAGTTGGTTTCTTGGCTCTTTTAAAGAGCTTATGCTATTCATTCTTTTCTTCCAATGGTTCATTCCCTGAGTAAAAGCACTTCATTATCTTATCTCCTTCCATATTAACTGCTTATTGTCGATTTCAAAGTATTGTCCAGCATTGAATTATTGTTGTTGATATTATTATGTACTGCAAGGAATCATCTGCATATGGTTAGGACTATTTCTGAATGTTCTTTCCTTGTGTATATATGATCCATGATCTTCTTCTACATAAATTAAAGAAATTTATTGTGTATTTGGGGGGAAAAATCTAGGTCAGAAAACTTCTCGAATGCTTACACAAGCAGTCGACAGTGATCCAGACATGTCTAAATTTGATCCACACAACTATGGGCTTTTTTGTGGTGGTTGTTGAAAAGGTTTTCTTAAAAACTTTCACTTTCCTGAACTTATTCTTTATTGCCCTTTTCCCAAAGCTCCTCTAAACATATATTATCCCCAGATTTTTTTAAAAAAAATAAATTTTACAGATGTTTGAATATACCTGAGGATTGCAAAGTAGTAAAAGGGTAATATAATAAGAATGCTTGTGGCGTTGCAATCTGCAGTTTTCTTTGCTTCCTGACCCTGGGAGGTGGTAGGTGGGAATATCAAGGCCTGGGGTGTCTTCTCTTAAAACTTGATTGAAATGCAGGAAGCCCAGGAGGCTGCAGAGCCATGGGATGAAGGTTGTGCAAGGGAAGACATACCTTCTGACTAAAGTAATGTGAGAAGCTACGCCAGCCCCCTGATCTGAGTTTCAGTTTACTGAAAATAGAAGCCAAAATAATTTGTTTGCCATCAGATTAAAGGATAAGATGACTTAGAAAAAGAAGAAAATACCCTAAGCATGGTCCAGTATGGAACAGAGGTTCGTGCCTAGGTGCGGGGGGGGGGGGGGGGGATAGAGCTGAATAGAATGCAAATGAAGGAGGGAAAAATTGGAGGGGAAGAAAGGAGGGAGGGAGGGAGGAAAGGGGTGGAGAAGGGAGGAATGGGAAGGAAAGAAAGGGAAGGGAAGGGAAGGGAAGGGAAGGAAAGGAAAGGAAAGGAAAGGAAGGGAAGGGAAGGGAAGGGAAGGGAAGGGAAGGGAAGAAATGGAAGGGAAGGGAAGGGAAGGGAAGATATGGAAGGAAAGGGAAGGGAAGGGAAGGGAAGAAATGGAAGGAAAGGAAAGGGAAGGGAAGAGAAGGAAAGGAAAGGAAAGAAAAGGAAAGGAAAGGGAAGGGAAGGGAAGGGAAGGAAAGGAAAGGAAAGGAAAGGAAAGGGAAGGGAAGGGAAGGGAAGGGAAGGAAAGGAAAGGGAAGGAAAGGAAAGGAAAGGAAAGG